CCCCCCCCACCCAGATAGAAGCCCAACCCAGCAGCCATGTGCACTGTGCACAGGGGGGAGGATGAGACTGCAGCCATGGAGGGGGAGGGCAGGACCATGAAGCAGGGTGTGCAAAATCGATCTTCCTCCTCTGCTGAGTGGGAGGTGACATCCCCGGCTGCAGAGATCTTTGGTGCACATAGGGAGTGGGACAGGAGGCTGCTGCCCTCTAGCGTAGTGCAGACTAGATGGCTGGTACAGAAACGTTTCAAACTTTCACCAGCTCTAGTTTATGGGGTGCAGGGCCCCACAACAATGACTGGGCCCCGGGCAAGTGCCCCTTTTGCCCTGCCTTAAAGACGGTCCTGCCTGTAGGCACTTCTCCCAGACTTCTTTTGGGATTCCAAACTGCCAAAAATAACTCTGATATGTGGATTTAGCTGGAGGAATTGAAATTCTTCAAATGTCCTCTGAATCTAATGGCATTTTAATTTCACAATCAAGTCTAAAAGCTGACCACTCACCTTTCTGAGCTCCAGCCAACCTGTTCATCAAGTATGACTTTCCAGTCCGATACATGCCGACAATGGACACCACCACCACTGGTTGGTGGATGTTGGAGAGGATGTTGACGGCCTCAGGGTTCACCACAAGCTTTGCTCTTCCTCCTTCTATCCTGTTCTCAATGAGGCAGATTGGGCTACCCATTCTGATTGCTGATTCCATGGCAGAGGATTCAGTCAGTTCTGAAAGAAGTAAATATTTATTGGCTTGTTTCAAAGACCAGTCTTGCAGCCACTATAACATAAACAGAACAGTCTTTTATTTCTTTGGTAACAGAAAAGTAGCTTTCATCAGCCATACAACAACGTATGCTTGTATTCCAGCAAACAGAACACAGTCTCACCGACTCCAGGTTGTCACACATACTCCATGTGTAAACGGCTCTCTCAGCCTCCACGGCTGTCTTCCTTTGCCTCTAGCACAAACAGCCACCTGTCTCCCCTCTGCCTTCTGGGAGGAGTCCTCCTGACTCCTGAACATCCCTGTTCCTCTTCCCAGTTGGAGCCCAGAGCATTAGGCAGCACCTTTTCCATAAGGGCTGTGCACAGGTGTGCCATCATTAGGTGCTGGCCACTAATAAACAATGGACCCAGGAATGGAGATTTCATCCCACCCGATTCTCTTAGAAATCTCCCTGTTCCAGAATCCCGTGCCAAATCCAGAAATCCTGGGAAGAACCACAGTCAGTTCTTTCCAAGTACAGGAACTTGCCTCCTGGAACTGCTCGGCCCCTCTGAGAGTCCTGGGTGACTACAACCCCCAGTTCTACCATGGAATTGCCACACAATACCACAATATGTATGTTAAAAGAAAATTCAATCCTAAAATCAACCATAAAATAAAAAATTTAAGCGGCCTCCCATAATAAAGCTGGCCATACAGCTATAGATGATCTGCAGATTTTCTATGGTCAGATGGAAAACGTGCAACAGATAGTGGGAGATTCCTCCATCTGCACAGTTTAGCGTAGATGGAGGAATCTGTTGCACTTTTTCCATCTGACCAGAGAAAATCTGCAGATAATCTATCGGTGTGTGGCCAGCTCAAGAAACAAAGAAAAGCAGCAAAGTGGTTGCTTGCCCAAAGAGATAGCAAACAGAATAAAAGTATCTCCCTAGCTCTCTCTATTCTTTCCCTGCTACAGCTTCCAATACACCGACACTGTGACTGCACCCCCCTCTTTATAGTGAGGGACTAACACAGAACAAAGCCCCTTTATTATCCCTTCTAACCCAGGTGACCAAAGCTCAAAGGTCCTTGCAATGCATCATCAATACAAAATATGATGGCGAGTGAACTGCCGCATTAGATCGCCGGGTCAGTGAACTGTGAACGGGCTGAGTTCACTTCGAACCCACATCTATCCCAAACCCAAATCTCATTCAACTGCCAGATAATGTAAGTGACAGTTGTCCCGTAACGCAGTAAACATTTTTGTCCTCCAGATAATATAACAAGAACACAGATATAAAGTATGTGCTGGATCATCTCACCTACTGGTAGCAGTGCTGAGATCCCGTCACCTTACACATTCGGCTCCTCTGGAGAGAAATGAGATCCTGTCTGCAGTGCTCGCTGTATATAGAGCATCTGACTTCACTGACTTTCACTTTTACTTAACCCTTTCACTGTGCTCAACCATTGAACATTTCTGTGATTTTGTTTTACTTTTTTTTAAATGTTTCACTTCCAGCTTCCAGAGTTTGTAAAAGTCCCGACCCCTCCAATAATAAATCTGTGTCTATTGTTTGGTCACTTATGATCCTGCACATGATATGGTGATATCAAACATTTGGAGAACCACAAGAAAAATCCTTCCAGCCTAGTGTAGACGGCAGCACAGACATCCTGTTATATAACAGACATTTCTTGTAAAGCTGAACATTTCACAGCAAGGAAAATACCTTCCACTTCCACTCCTCTACAAGGGGCGGCTCCGGACATTTATTTTTTCACAGTGCTGATCATATAAGTGGAGGGG